TGGACTAATTTACAATCACTATTGCCCACAGCTAATAGAGCCACTTGCACAGTAGCTGCTCTAGTTTAAAACATTGGACTCCCCAGATTGGGAAAGGCTGTTCTAGAGATCAATTGATTGGATGCCCTTGATGAAAGGCAGCTCCCAACGTTCCAGTGCATTTGAACCGATGACTATTGTGAGGTATTGACAACATTGTCCAAGTGCTCTTAAATATTCATTATTGTTTCTTTGCACTACAAACACCAACAGACCCAAGAGCAGAATTCTCAGCTGGCACTAAAACTAGAAACAATGCTTCTGCTATTTAAATTTAACATTTCATCTGAAATACAATTTTTATAAAATGATGTATTGTTGGAAAAACTGTCTACATATATAGAGATACTTCAAATTTATGCTGGAAATGTAATAAACAAGAAGAGACATTTTTGTCACACTTGGTATTCATGTAAAAAAGCTTAAAATAAACTCAATTACATATACTAATACAGAAGATTTTAAAAATTAATATGCATTTAAAACCAGACACCTTTCTTTTGGGATTGACAGATAAACATTTGGAAAAACAACATGATTTTTTCTTTGTAAATGACAATTACAGCAAGACTATTATATGCACAAGTGGAAAAATTCGACTTTACCCATAATGGAGGAATGGATGATGAAGATGATAGAACTTACCAAAATGGCCAAATTGACAGTTTTAATTAATGACATCCAAATATAATTTATTTAATTATTAAACTTACATGCTGCCCATCTTGCCTCTAAGTGGCTTACGTTCATTCCATAATAATGCCACATAAAACATTAAAACAATAGAGATCTTACATTTAAAATTCAGTTAAAATTAAATTGAACAAGATTGAGAAGAAGGGAGCAAAGTGTGGAAAGGAAGGAGGAATTGGATCCTAGGGCAATTAGCAGAGCCATGTCTGTTGTCCCTCATCCAAACCCCCAAAGTATCCAAATACTGCAAGACAGTAACAACAATAATGCTGATTAGAAGCTTTTTATTGACGTTGATTTATTTGAAACAGAAACAATGAGATTTTGATGTTATGTCTTTATAAACATGAAACAAGATTTTAAACATCAGTGTATATAAATTACTATTATAACATTATAAATCATAATAAAGCTGTTAAAAGTTTTGATGATTAAAAAATAGATTACAGAAAAATGTAAGCAATGCTGTAACCATAGAAAAAGAGGTTAATTTACGTTTATACTTACAACTGCTGTAAAAGAAAATCAAGTAATTTCTTTATATTTTTTCTTTCGTCTTTTCATTTTTTTCTAGTTTCAATTTTTTTCATATTTCCTTTTTTCTATTCATTCTAAATATTAGTTCTTGTTAGATTTTATCTTTTATCTTAAACTTTTAATAAAATTATATAAAAATATGTGATGACTAGCAGCTGAATGAGTAATTGGATTTCCACAAAGAGCATTGTACAAAATGATGTTAATGTACTATGTATACTGCCTAATTAAGTGATTCCTTCAGCCTTGCAATGGGATTGTAATGATAGCAACATCAAGTATCAACAGCAAATCTCACCTTTTTCTGTTGCATTCACAACCTCTCCAAGTATTAAAATAGCTGCTCTTAAAAAAAAAAAAACAGACATCAGATAAAAGTAACTAGGTAACTTCTGGTAATTAGGTGAACACAGATATGTACTTTCCTTCGCAGCAGTATATAAGTGGCTTTCTGTTGCCTGCTTCTGGAATATTTTTGTTTAATCTAATCTTCAGGCCTGAGATTTCTTGATGTTTCTCATCCAAGTATTAACTAGATCTGACTTTATTTAGCTTTGGGAATCACTCAGATCAACTGGTAGCTGCCATGTTCTGTGACAAATGCTACTTAATTTTAGCCCCTTCCAGTGGTATTCTGAGCAAAAGTGTGTCAAAATAAGAGGGCTTAACATTACAGACATTTACATTATGAGGTCTCCACTTCAGGGTTGGGATTCAAATTTTTTAACAACGGTTCTGTGGGCGTGGCTGTTGGTGGGCGTGGCTTGGTGGTCATGTTATTGCCTGGGCATGGCCAACTCAATATCACTTACATCGACGCATGCAACTCCTCGCCTGACCTCTCATGACTGTGGGGATGCTGCAACAGTCGTAAGTGTGAAAAATGGTCATAAGTCACTTTTTTCAGTGCCATTGTAACTTTGAATGGTCACTCCACACAAGCAAAGTACCAGCAGAGGAGGGGAAAAAAACTCCAGAGAAGTTCCTGAGACAGGAAGTCTAGTAGTTCTGCCAAGAACGTAATAAGGGTTAACAGAGAGGCAGTTTCTGTAAGCAACACCAGAATGTTTCCCTCCTGCCTTCCTTACAGGATTAGGCCAGTAATTTCTTCTAACAACCTGTTCTCCGAACTGCTTGGAATGTTAACAACCGGTTCTAGCGAATAGGTGCAAACTGGTAGAATCCCACCCTTGCTCCACTTTCTTCACAAGTGCCTGAGGCTTAAACCCTCTTACTTTATAGCAGGTTTTAGGAATAGCAGGTACACATTTGTAATAGTTAATATTTCTTTTTTAAAAAGATAATTTTTATTTTAAACCTTTTTTGCTCTTCTAGTTAAAAAAACATACGCATCACTCTTTACAACAGTTTCATGAAATAATTTACAACATGAATGAGGTACAATAAAACTTGAATTATCAGTAGAATTGCATTAAAACATTTATTTAAGGTAAAACTGTTTAATAACTGAATCCTAAAGCCACAACCCTAGGTATGTTTACTTGTGAGAAAGACTTACTGAATACAATTAATCTTATTTCTAAATATACATAGAATTAGGCTTTATGATTGCAATCCTATACATCTTTACATTGAAATAATATGAGATTCAGTATGCTGATGTTATCTGTATCATGGGTGAAGAAGTGATGGTGTCAAAGATTTGTCCCAGCACCTGTTGTGGGGAAGGATAGGCTTAAGCTCAGCACTGACAGAGACTGGCAACCTAGTTTTGAATTTTTCATTTCTGAAAAGTCTGCATTTTCTCAGATAGAACTAGGGCACAATTTGAGGGTTCTTTGAATTCACAGCTCTTACATGAAGAGCAGCTGTGGACAAGACAGTCTTTGCTCAGATTTGGTACCCCAGTTGCCCCATTTCATGGACTTAGAATGTCTTTTCACAGTCACTTTAAGCTGGTTACTTTGCATGTGAACTACCGTAATGGGCTTTGCACAGGGCTGCCCTTGAAGACCATTGAGATGATACAGCTAGTCCAGAACATAGGGTTGCAAGCAGTTATGGGCTTCAGCTCTGCATGCTTATCTATCATTTTTCCAGTGCAATTCAAAATTCTAATTGTCACTCCAAAGCACTCCATGGCGTAACTGCTCTGAGGGATGGCATTTTTCCAATTTATCTACTCATCTGACAATGGGCATGTTCGAAATCCCATCTAATGGGACCTTAATGCCTTCTCTGCCTGCAATCTGGGCCTGGAATAGTATCCCACTGGAGGTTCAATCTGCCCTGAGCCTTGAGGATATTTCTTTTTCTCTGAGCTCTGGTTTAGGTTGGGGATCTGTGTTTCTCTGAATAGAGAAAAGTGATGCATGTTTACTTTTCCTGACTTATTTTTAAATTTGATTTCCTGTATTTTTAAAAATTTGTATGTGATCTAGACTGAGAGTTGGGCAGCCTTATACAAGTCGTCCTCAACCTATGACCACAATTGAGCCAAAAAATTATGTTATTAAGTGAGGAATTTGTTAAGTGAGTTTTGCCCCATTTTAGGACTTTTCTTGTCCTATTTTTTAAGTGAATCACTGCACTTGTTAAATTAATAACATGGTTGTTAAGTGAATCTAATTTCCCTGTTGACTTTGCTTGTCAGGTCACAAAAGCGGATCACATGACTCCGGGACACTGCAGCCGTCATAAATGTGAGTCAGTTGTCAAGTATCCGAATGTAAATCACATGACGATGGAGATGCTACAATGGTCATAAGTGTGAAAAATGGTCTTAAGTCACTTCTTTTCAGTGCCATTGTAACTTCGAACAGTCACTAAACAAAGTGTTGTAAGTTGAGGACTACCTGTATGTGGAAACGTTATACATACAGGTCGTACCAAAAAATAGTTGGCCCATATGCCAAGCCAATACACCAATCAGTGTTTTATTTATATATTTTTTTCAGTTGTTGTACTTAGAAGTGTTCAAAGGTCACATCAAAAAAATGTGTTGGAATGAAAATTGCAATTCACACATTTAACGTACTTTAACGTAATTTAGGTACTATATGTATAATTCTATCTATGTATAATATAAATAACTATGCATAATTTTTTTTCTTTTTGTAGGAATTTAGTCAACAAATAAACTGCACGATATGCTGCCATCATCGGCTCACTTAGCATAACCAAATGGAAAGTAACGCGTGCGAAGGAAATCTTTTTGTCTGTGGTTTGTGCGCGCGTGGACGCGTGTTTTGTAAGAAAGATCTTTCTTTTTTGTAAGAAAGACCTTTCAGGAATTTACGATATTTGGGCTCACGCAACTGCAGTTTATCAGATCAGCTGCAAATTTACCGGCTGCATTGGCCAATATGTTAAACTCGATCAAATTTCATCTTAACTTGGTTTTGGTTTTTGACGGTTTTTGTAACGCTGCCACTCCAAAACTGATTGCTTACTTAGGATTTGGGATCCTGAAGAGAACTGGAAACAAAAACCAGCAGACGCGTACACGGGAGGAGGCTGAATGTTGATAACAGTTACAACACTGTGTAATTTTCCCGCCCGTGAAAATTACACGCCCGAAGGATCACGAGATCACACCGATCCGCCCAGGGGAGACCCGTGTCCCGTTTGCAGCTGGAGGGAAGGGCGAGGGCAGAAGGCGGGAAGACGGAGGAGGAGGAGGTGGAGAGCGGGCGGAGCCGAGTCAAGCAAAAGAGAGCCTTGGCTTCGCCTCCCGCCTCCTCCTCCTCCTCCTCCTCTCCCCGGCAGGTCCCGTGCGGGCGGGAGAGTCGGAAAAGAGCGAGCTGTGTAGCGCCGGAGCAATGGCCGCGTTCCCCGGTGTTAGCGGCAGCTGCGGACTCGCGTGGCCGCGCTCGCCGCCCGCTTCGGCTCTGGGTTGGGAACCGATGCTGGGGCTCCAGATCCGTTCGCGCTCGGTGGAGCAGACCCTGGTACCGCTCGTGGCGCAGGTAATGAGCGAGTAAAGCCGAGCGGCCGGCTCGGCTCCCGCGCGGTTATCTCAACCCCGATCGCTCCGTCCTTCTCTCTCTCTCCCTCTCTCCCTCTGGCAAGAGCCTTAGCTTACCCGCGCGCCCTCCGCCTCCCCCCCTCCTTTCCTGAAGTCCTGATTTTCATTTCGGGTGCATGCTATCCGGGCTCACTCCGGATAGGGGCCTTAACAGACGGCTTCTCAAGGAAAGTATCTTCGCTTTACATTTTTGGTGGCTCTGCCCCACTCACCCCCTCCGGGGCGTCGTGACAAAGCTCCCGGAGTTGGAGACTGATGCGGTGTGTATATATATATATATATATATGTAGGTAGGTAGATAGGTAGGTGGGTGGGTTGGTGTGGGTGTGTGTTTAAAAAGCATTTTAAAGTAGCCTGGAGCAAGAATCCCTCTCCCCCCCCCCCTCCGTCTGCGCGCGCGCTCTTTCGCTCCCTCCGGAAAGAACTTAGAAGCGTCGCCCGGGAACGCGGAGTTTGGCCTGAGCCCAAGTTGGTGAAACGAAAACCCGCTTAAAACAACTTGGCTTTCAGACTGTATTTACGGGTCTTCTGTCCGGCGAGAGAACATCTGGGAATTTCAGCCTGGCCTTTGTTGCTTTGTTTGGGCTTTCTTTCGGGCCCAGAAGTCGTGCATAACTTTGTGGGTTTTGTTCTAATGCTCACCCTCACGGACTGTAATCCGTGAAAGAATTTTGACTGCCTTCCGGAGGATTAGCAGCGCATCTCGTGTAGCCTTCGCTCGCAATCTTCGTAGGGGGAGGGAGGGGGGGGATATATATTGCACGAATGTTACCTTAATCGAGGTCGATGTACGCCTCGTAATCTTAATAAGGCAGCGCTTCTCCGGTCTCTGAAAACCCAGCAAATTCAATAGGAGCTTTTCGTCTGCAGCTCCTAAAACAGTTATTCTTCAAGCCGCTCCGTAGACTTTATAAATATAAAGTCAGAATAGAGACGTCCTGAGAAAATGTACTGGAAATATGATTGAGTATTGGTAAATCTGTGCCTTTGGAACCAGTAAAATTTATTTTCTAGTAAATGTATATAAGTTTGGAATGTGTGAGCACACAAATCGTGGCTTGCCATTATGCAAGGGGTTGAACTAGCTGAAGTAGTATCTTAATTATCCGCAATTCTCGTTCATTTCACAGGGAGCATTTTGATCATCTTGGTTTAGTGGTGTCAATGCTTCTCAAAAGAAATTGGGAAAGTCAGGCTGCTTCTGGATTAATCCCTGTTCAGGCAGTACAGTTCAGCAGGAAACTAAAAAGGTTGCTGAATTGCAACATTAATTTTATTGAATGTTAAGTCTGTGGGTGTGGATAGAATTTCAGGCATTTCAGTTGGAAGCCAGAATGAGGGGAAACTGGAAGAAAAACTATTAAAAATGTATTTGGATTTTATAGGAATCCTTGGTGAAACATTCTTTGTAAATTTTTATACAGACTAAGGAGTTATGTTGGATGATAAACTACTATGGCTTTTTCCTGTATCAATTTATTTACAGAATGCATATAATTTATAATTATATATTCTTCTGGCTTTGTGGTCTGTGGTTAATGAGGGTAAAATTATTTGGAACAGAAGTTGTTCTGCTGCTTCCAAACTAAATGATGGTAAGAACTATTTAAATGTTTTTTAAAATAGTTTAACAAACTCATACAAGATGCTGTTCCATTTTTAAAGATTATCTTTCCTCATTTCCCTGTAGCTATTCAAAAGTTTATTTACTGTACTTAATTGAACCCCTTTTCCAATGAGTAACTTAAAAAGCAGCTATTTACTTGCCTACTTGCATCAGACCCAGTAAAAATATTATAATAGTTTATATCATTCAATGCATTCTGGAGCATGAAATATTTGAGGGTGAATTTCAGTGAGTTAAACAAGATAAGTGAACATGTTTTGCATTAAGATTTTGGAACATCTGTAAGACAAGAGACACAATGTTCAATAGTTTAGGGACTGGCTTTGAAAAAATAGGAAATCAAGAAATATTGGAAACAGGAACTGAAGTAATAGTTTAAAAGCTGACATTTAGGAGTATTTACAAGTAGTCCATTTATTCTGGTTTGACTGCAGTACTGTATTAAATACAAGATGCATTAGTGATAATTTTAGGTTACAATTAATAAGCCATTCTGTGTATATCTGAGTAAACAAGTAATGTACATTTAGCTTTTCCAGGAATTCAAATTGAATTTAAATGAACTTGTTCAGATAAAATAGAAGTATATGGATGCACAGAAGGCCAAACATCATGAGACAAGTATAATTTTGGCTCTAAATTGCACAAAATACATTTAGTTTTGAAATTGTAGAATACAAGTAGTCCTTGACTTATGACCACAATTAAGCCCAACACTTCTGTTGCTAAGTGAAACATTTGTTAAGTGAATTTGACCTATGTTATGACTTTCCTTGCCAGAGTTGTTATCACTGAAGTTGTTGAGTTAAATAACATAGTTAATTGAATCTGACATCCCATTGATTTTGCTTGTCAGAAGATCATTGAAAGTGATCACATCACCCTGGGACACCACAACCGTCATAAATAAGAGTCAATTTACAAGCATCTGAGTTTTGATCATGTGACCATGGAGATACTACAACGGTCATAAGTGGAAAACAGTCATAAGTTACTTTCAGTGCCTTTGTAACTGCAAGCAATCACTAAACGAACCATTTTAAAATGAGTACTACCTGTACTAGATTACAAGAGCAAGAATAATTAATAGACTATTTGCCCAGGGTTTAAATTTATATTAAATGGATCTAAACCTTTACTATTCTTGTTACCATGCAACTGGTAAAATAGGGGCGATCCTTCATGCTTCACAGTCTATTGGATTTTGATGAAGATAAAGTAAAGGGAGACTGTATGAACTTCCATAATGAAAATAGAATGTGCAATGATAAAATTAGAAAAATAAAAATATTGCCAGAGAAATTTGGCTGTATTGTTAGTTTCTGAAGTCATTCAAAAGAGGATGGCCCTTTCTGCTCATGGGTTGCAAATAGAAAAATGATGAGAGAAATGGTGCCTAGTGGGTAGAGTATGCACAGCCCAGTTAGAGCAAAAGGGTGAATTGTTTGGTGGTAGCAAAATACCAGGTAAGACTGTTTAGTGTTTCATGATTGATAGTTAAATTGATAATTGATTAACTGCAATTATCTGGTGACATTAACCTGCATTCCTATAGCCAGAATAAAATGTTTCCTCTTTAATTCCATCATACTCCTTTAGTGTATTCAGTAGCCATTCTAATATTACTGCATAAACCCAGTGCATGTCTTAATAACCTGTTGACTGAATTATCACAGCAGTCTTCCTGCCACTTTTATCTGATGTTTGATCACTTTAAAATTATTACAGTTGTCAAATCATTTCCTCTTCTGCTGCAGAGTATTGTAGCTGTTTCTTGTCTTGACTCTTTGCTGGCCATTCATCATCTTTAGCTTACTCTGTGTGTGTGTGTGTGTGTGTGCGTGTACACATTGATAGCTAATTTCTTGTTTTAATTGAGCTTGGTTTGAAGTGGTTGCCTCAAATGGGAGCTGAAATATTTGGGAAGAATTTACTATTTTGTCAAGATAGAGTTTCTGTTGTCTTATAGAGGAACTAATTGGATAACTTGGAGATGTTTCTTTTTACAAAAAAATGAGCCATGCTTAAATTTTTAAAGTACTGTGATCTTAGCCTGAACAATATGTAGTGAAGAATCAAATTGTAACAGCAATAATTGTTTCAGTAAAAAAATAGAATTTAAAATTAATTAAATGTTGGCAGCATGATGCTGGTGGTGAGGGTTGCATGGTGCTCCTTGGCAGACTGAAAGGCTTATGAGGAGCGGACAAGCTGTGGTGGCAAGAGAATACTCTTAATGTTTGAGGGAAACTTGTTTTAAGGAAGCTGGTGATACATATTAGATGTGTCAGTGATATAAGAAGATAGCAGATTTCCCATTTTTTCTTCTGATTTTTTAAATAACATATAAAGTTAGTTTGTATATGTCCCACTAAAAAGTGATGGGAGAAAGAGATGTGGGGCTATAATAACAATAGAGTTCAGGAGTGGCATTCTGCCTATAGATTTTCCATTTCTGCTGCAGAATTGTGAGCAGATGCTCAGAAAGGAAGAGCCCCCCCCTCCATGATATATGTCTATCAAGACCTTGAGCTTTCAATGCCATCATGGTATTCATGAACTATTAAATTAATTTTCAGGCAAGAAAAATATTGAAATGATTCCAGATTTATTTACAAAAGCATATTCTTACCCTTTCTAACATAGAGATAAGCATCAAGTCTATGGCTTGTCTGTTGAGTATACATTCAAACCAATATCTCAATAGTTTTTCCAAATAAATTTACATCAATTGTATTGATATAATTGTACATAATTGCACACTGGAAGTTTGTAATTGAAAGGCTGTACATGATTCATTATAAATAACTACTCAGAGGGCAATGAATACAATGAATACTGGTTGAGGCAAGATTATATCTGAAAGGGTATTATCGTAACTGCAAGAGTTAAAGTACAAAACAGGCTATTCTTTTGATTCAACATCAAGATACATAACTCAACATCAAGATATAAAACAAGATGAAGTAGTACAAGCCTGTGCAAATACTGTAAAGATATCTTGTATTTCTTCCAAGTGTGATAGTTTTCAACGGGCAATTTCTTGCATTTCTGTAATCTGAACCACTGAGTTGAGATACCTGTACTTCGGAATGAGTCTCATTAAATAAAAAAACTTATTATTGTAGTGGTATTTATCTATGTGAATCAGCCTTAAATGCCTTTAATTATTGCTGTTACAAAGTATATAAAATAGATAGCCTGTATAATTGACCGGGAGATTGTTAAAAAGTTGTGGAGTGTATTGTGAGAGGAGAGGTGGGGGAAGTCCAATGGGGAAGTGCAATGGGGGGGGGGGAGAAAAAATAATGTAT